GAGAGTCATAATAAACTTATAAGGCATATGCCATTTCACAGACGGCCAATCTGAGGATCAGAGAAGTTAGGTAATTTGTTCAAAGTCACACAGTTTAGCAAGAATTAGAGCTAGAAGAGAATTCCAAGTAGGGCTGTTTAGTAACAAATCCTGGGACCTTAGCCACTTTCTCCTGAGAAGAGAGGATTTTGCCGGTGAAAAATGTTACCCTCAACTCATCCTCACCCCTACCCCCTTTCTATACATAGTCACAGCATTGTTCCTGTGCCATCTGAGGCATCACACCTTTACCAAGCTTCTCCAAGATTATAAAATTCCCTGGCCCATTCAATCACACAGGGACCCTGATTGAGACTCTTTTTCCACTTTGCCAGAGCAATCCGAAGCCATCCTTCTTCCCAATTGATCCAAGAGCTCCTTTCAGGATGAAAGAATAGAGAGCTGCCTTCATTTTGCCACTTAGACAATATGCTTAGGTAGGACTATATTAGTGGTTCAACAGCAGGACCAGTTTAACTCACAATACTCTTTTAGCCATTAAAACAGATCTATACATATATGTATAACATACACACATACATATTTACTATAAATGCTGCCTCTATGACTCCACAAAGTTATGTTTATTTTATATTTTGGAAATAAGCTGGTCCATAATTATTTGTGCTTTATCTGAATTAGGCTGCAAGCCAAAAAGCACCGTTTGCTCCTGCTGAGAGGGTCAAGATACGCTGGGAGCTATCAGGGCCCCAGAGCAGATCTGAAGCAGAGTTTGTGCCTGTATTTGTGTCCCTAGCCCCAGGGGATTGGGAGTCAAAGCCATGGCCTGCCTTCTTTCCAGTTCCTTTAGTCATTCAACCGCATCATCCACAAATGGCCGCAAAACTGGCTGGCGTGTGGGTATTTTTACTCTTCAAGCCAGAGGAGCAATTAGGCATTCTGAATAACTCCTTTCGCTATGACAGTGATATCCACACCATTCCCAGTCCTTAATCAGTTACCAGCAGGTGAATTCACAGTACTTGCCTTAAAGATGTTGCAACAAGCTTACTGACTTTCTGTTTCGGTATGACTGTCATTTCAAGAGAACTACTCCCAAATAGGAAAAAGGAAAATCCACGTACATATGAAATTTAACAGAATGTACTACGGACGAAAATTCATGTTTTTCAAGTGAATCAAAATGTGAATCAAGCTTGCGGAATGCATTTGATCCTCTCGGAATTACATCACAGGTAATTTCATAACCTCGTAATGTGTTTTGAAGCAGACATTTCATGCTCCCAGGGGCAACATCTAAAGTATTATTCCTGGGCTCTCAAGCGTTTTCATGAGCAACGATGCAGTATTGGGAGGCCAAGTGTTGATCTATCATAGATACACTTTGCTGACTGTAAGCCATTTGGAAATATACATGTTATGCTGATCTTTATCATCCTTGGTGCCAGACTCAGACAAGATGCAGATACCGACAGAGGACAGGCACCAAAGTTGATTGAAAGACAAGATTATCTTCCTTGACCCCTGAGGCCTTCATCAATCCCATTCGGATGTGACAAACTAAGAAGCATAGGGCAAGCTTTGAATTTTAAAAGGTCACAGAGCCTTTTGAAACCTCAACCGAAGCTGGGGCTCTCTCCCTTCTCCCAAAAATGCACATCCACACCTGGTTTTGCATGAATTTTGTGGGCTTCCGGCCCTCCGAAGACCATCTATGGACCCCTACAGATCTATGGACACCATGGATCTTTAAGACATCTCTCTTGCACTCAGTTTAGATTGAAATTTAAATAAAACTTCTTAGTGGAGTCAGGGTTGGGAGATATATGTTTACTCCAATCTGTAAGAGGAGACTGGAGAGATTCTATTTTTGCTCTCATACTTGGGTGTTGCCTCATTCTCCTACAGGGACAGCAGGAAGGGCCCCACTGTCCCTCTCCTTCAGCAGCTGAAGTAGGAACCACGCATCCACAGGGTCATTCTGGACCTCTGTTTGGCAATGCAGTGAAGAATCCACTAAATTTTTACCACGTTGAACCTCAGTATCTGGCTCTCCACTAACCCCCTTTATCTATTGTAAAGCCAAATGATCATAAAGTAAAAAGTATAGCAAAAAAAAAAAAAGAAAGAAAGAAAAGAAAGAAACAGAAAAAAAACAGGCCTTCCTTTTTTTTTTTAATTGGGTAATTGGGGAAAGGGGAACAGACAAGTTGCTGTCGTTTTGTCCTTAAGTCTAGTTGTGGAGGACATTGCTTCACTGGCCCAAGTTGGCACCATCATTGTGCTCTTCCCAGGCGAGGCAGATCAGTCACCGGCTCTGGACGGCCGCTCATGGCAGCTGCTGGCCGCTGGCTACACATGGTAGCCCATGGCAGCCCACTGCCACAGGGGCTGCAGCCTACCCATCACCAGCGACCCACGGCAGCCCAGCGCCAGGTTGAGCTGTTGTTCAGCATCTTAGCTATGGAGGGCGGTGTCACTGGCCCTCATGTGTGGGATCTGAATCAGGGCCCTCTGGCATCCCACGCCAGTTCTTAACCACCATGCCACTCGGCCGGCCCCAGGCCTTCCTTCTTATAATAACCATAGGTCTTTGTTGGTCTTTGGAAAGGCACAGGTGCGGTAACTGGCTCATCCAAGATTCCCCTTATGATGCTTATTTTCCCTAATTGGCTAAAGAGGCCATACAGGTGTCTCTCAAAGTTTGTTCTATGGACCACCTGTATCATCACCACTAGAGAAGGGGTTAAACTTGAAGTTTTCTGCAGTCCCACCCAAGACCACTAGGTCACAATCTATAGTTTTAAGAACCTCCCTTAACCAATCCATCAGCACTCTCACAGGAAAGAACTTCTGGTCATAAACTCACCTACTTGCCTTCCCTCAATTTCCCACAACATGATAACTAACTCCAGGAGATAGCAGCATTGAAGGAAACATCCATAATCTCCAGGAAATCCTTGAAAAGTCAAAGACAAAACATTCAATCTGCAGAACTCAAGTTCCCATCCGTCTGTGGAGATTCTATCCCTGTGTTATTTGCCAACTTGAAATAGAGCAGCTCTCAGTGCTCTGTACCACCAAAATTGGCAAATTCAACAGTGCTCAGCTACTTACAAGTATGAGTCTTTGAAGCCTGAGCTGACAAACATGGCCTCAGAACACAGCATTTGCATAGGATTTTTATGACGATTACCTCTATGAAGAGAATCTCATGGCTGGCTTAGTCACCCCTTACCTGATCCCACCCCCCACTTCAAAAGATTACTTAACCCTCTTGATTTTAGTCCTTGCTCATACGCAAGAAAATTGGCGTCTTAGCCTTCAGTGGAAACGATCATGAAGAAATGCTTGTCCTGCTACCATAAATGTTTAGTCATCGCCCCCAACTTTAATATATGTATATTTTTTAATGTCTACTAGACGCCGGGCACTACGCTAGGTGCTGGGGACACAATAGTGAACAAAACATGACGCTGCCCTGCCCTGATAGACTATTCAGCAAGGACACCACTTCTAAAACAACAGGAGCTCTCCCCAAAGTCATTTGAGCTCATTCTGCATCTCCTCTTGGGGATGGAGTGGAGCAAGAGCAGAAAGAGACAGGCAACCAGCTCTTGCCTTTGGAGATGACAAACCTTGAAAAGAACTTCAACTACTTTCAAAAGCAGGATTAATCATCTTCTCTCCAGCACCCCTATGCCCTTGCCTTCACAGGAAACCCTTAAGAAGACATCGAGTTGGCAAATAGGGTAATGCCCCTGAGTTTCACAAAGCAGCCAAAGCCAATCGCCACTCAGAGCAGAAGGAGGCCATTGGTTGTCTGGATGGCTGAGTGTCTCTCCCTAGACAATGGCGTATTTATATGTAGGAGGGTTAGAAGCAGGTTGTTAACATAAAACCCACCGTAAACAGAGCTGTTAATTCAGTTGCTGGCAGGGGCTTCTGTTATCTTCTGAATACCTCCCAGAGGGTATAAGCCCTACCTTGTCATTTGAGTTGGCAGCAGAGTTATTTTTTTGCACCTGTTGCTCTGCTCCGATAACAACCAGTTAAGCATTGATTTGTTGGAAAATAAACAGAAAAAAGCAAAGAAAGGCATCTGCCCAAACAGCCTGAGCTGGTTTGACTAAGCATTCATGCCAATTTGTTTTTCCTATAAAAACCAAAAAAAAAACAAAAACAAAAAAATACCCCCTGCATTTTCAGTTTAGATGCTGCCCTCCGACGCCCTCAGAAGTAAAGGGGGTATCAAGTAGGCCAGCAAGAGCTGGCAGGGCCAAGAAGCCAGAAGACACTGTACTTTTCCATTGGCTGGCTCTGTGAGGGTGCTGAGGGTTATCCAAGATCTGGAGAATGACATGGCCAGCCTCCAGCCAGCCCAGATGAAGATCAGGAATCAGATTAACAAGAGCAGAGAAGAGGCGGCTGGATGTGATCAAAACCCAAACCACACTCTTCCCAATTGTTGGCTTCTGAAAGTCAATATGGTTCAGGGAGTAGGTTTAGTCTATGGTCTCTTAAAGCAGAGACTCAGAGTGCTTGAATCTCCGTCTGGCCTCTCCCACAGACTTCTTACATTTGGCCCTGGGCAAACAGCATAATTGAAAACCCCAGCCCTAGACCCTAGCTTTCCCACTGGGGAAACAAGGCTACCCACATCTATCTCAGAGGTGAGCTTTGTTGGCTCTCTCATGCCTCGCCAAGTGACTTGAGGTCCCAGGTCCCAGGTGGAAAGAACCTGAGATGTTCAAGGTGTGATTTCTGCATTAACCCAAGCATCTTTGCACTCTCATGTCTCATCACTTTGTCAATATCACATGATAAACTCAAGCCGAAAAGGGCCACAAAGAGCTAAACAAATCACTCAAAAGGAAATCATGACAACACTCATTAAGCAATGGCGTCATCACTCAGCCTTCAACACACACAGACAGAGGAAGCCTATTAATATCTCTTTTTAAGCTTTGAGAAGAAAGGACAGGACGTGGGCAACGCACCAAGTTCCCCAGATTACCATCTTTTCTCGGCGTTCTCTCAGCCATTGGGCCTTCGTTGCCACCAGACCACTGGCTTAATGGGGGAGTTGCGGCAGTGGGGAAAAGCCTCAGAAACGCTGCTTCTCGAGGAGCATTAAGAACAGGGTGTTCCGACAGGGGAGGGATATGGCTGGCTGAGCGTTCCCAAGCATTCTTGTCATGAGCAGGGCAGGGAGTGAAGTGCCTCGGAACCAACTCGGGCAGCCAGAAAAATAAAAGATTTAACAACACCCTCAGTTGACTGAAAAATAAATAAGGCCAACTGCACAGGAATGCGGGAAGGGTGGAGAGAGGTAAAAGGTGGGGATTGGAGCCAGGGAGGGGCCGGGATGGACTGGGACAATTGATTTGACCATTTCCAGATTCAAGTTTCTTCCTGAAAAAAGACCAAGATGCTCCAGCTAAGGAAAGACCAATAGCCACCAATTTGGAATCGCACAGACTATATAGTTACCAAACAACAGTTTCGTAACCCGGCAGTTTACGTTTATTGAGCATTCCTGGTGTGCTAGGAATTGATTTAGGCTTGATATGAGTTATCTCATTTAGTCCTCGCAATAACCCCAGATATTGGTACTAATATTATCCCCATTTTACATGATGAGGAGGCACTGAGGTTAGGCAATTGACCAAAAGACACAGAGCTCATAAATGGACTGGATATATTATAATAAGGATATTCGGGTGGGGGGAGGTTCAACCATTCTTTGTAGCTTTGAAATGGATCCTCGTATTTCTAAAGAGGAGGCCTCTTAGGATCACATATTTTTATTTAAGTACAGCTCCCATAATTTTTTTCCCTAAATGTGAATAGGAAGCATACTAATTATCCTTGCGCACTAATATGAAAGTTCCCTTTAGCATACATCAGTGAGTATGCCACAGAAGCACTAGTTCACGGCCACTCAAACCCATCCATCAAATCTTCAGTCTGGCTTCCTTTTGAAAGCTCCAGATTGACTCAGGGGTTGGGCTTGGCGGCCTGAAGCCACTTCAGACTTATTAGCCATGATAAAAGAGCAGTAATAATAATAAGGAAAAAAAACTGTTGAAAAATTAAGGGGAAGTTATGGCTTCTTTGGAAAAGCACCTGATGTCACTCCTGGGCCCTGATGACAGACCTGCCATGTTGCAGACATCACACTGATGAGAGAAAAACTGAATGTGTCATTCCGGGAGCCTGAATTCCATCATTCAAACTAATAGATCTAGGAAAGTTCTCATCCTCTTCCACCAAGTCCATGTCCTTTTTTCAAATCTTGGAACAGTTTGTAAAATCTTAGCAGTAAAACACAGACAGAACCTCATAAAGCTTATCCATTTTCATTTTTGCAGCTTACGAAGCCAAAAATGTCTGCATTTTCTCACAAATTACAGGATCTCCTCTTTAAAAGAATTGGAGTTTTCTTTTTGTATAGATAATCATTAAATGACAACAGGCAAGAAAGCTAAGTTTCTTTTCAGTGCCTTCCTACAATAATGATAGACTCAGTACAGTGGGTCTCTCATTTTCCCTTCCAGGACATACTTGGCTCTGCTTCTCCTAGCTCACTGGTCTAGAAAGAAAGAAAAGCAAGAAAGGAAGGAGAGAGAGAGAGAGAGAGAGAGAGAGAGAGAGAGAGAGAGAGAGAGAGAGAG